CTTAAAATACTACTTTCACGCAGAGTTTTATAATTGGCTTGTACAAATTTCCAAGAATGCCATGACGATTGTGCACCCGTTTCATAAACATCTTGCTCCAAGAGCAGAAAGCTTGCTGGACGGCTATAAATTAAGATTTCATGTGATCTAATATCTTAGTATATATGATTTTAAATATCTACTCATGTGTTTTTGGTTTGAAATTTTTTTTCTTTTAATTATTGTAATAGTTTTAAACTCTCATATTTTGTTAATAAAAATAATTTAAAAAATCTAAAAATTAAGGGGTGTGGACGTCCAAGAAGAAGTAATTTACATACCAAGCACCGGTAGAAATAGGAAACCTAATAATGTAATACCTGGGCATCCTTTAGGGTTTGCCTCTGGTGAAAGTTCGCCATTGTCACCGACTTGCCCACTCACCAACACATGCACGGAGCTGATGTGCTGTGTCGTATGTGTGTCAGTTTCGATTTGATTGAAGGACCCGTCAGTCTTGTCCATTCTGAGTCTCTGACATTGTTGTCTCTCCTTTCCTCGAAGTCTTAGGCGAGCTGACAAACAATGGACTGTTTTCGGTATTTAGGTGTACCGGCTAACAATGCAACCCACAAGCTCTGGGATAGAGAGAATGGCACTCTATAGTGCCTTGGAAAACTAGCTCATGGTGTGGGACCCTTGCTCCTCCGTTCGCTTTTTCCTTTTAATTTTATCGGAAATATGCAGGAGAAACACGTCTGTGTTATGGTACACTGTGCAAATGGATCATACTACGTGTAATTTATCTTCACATACCGTTGTATACAATAGACATTAGTTTTCACGGTGACAAAATACATGTGCTCTATATAAGTTGCACTGAATCTTTAGTCACCAAATGCAAGTACGACAATCACTTTTAGATAGTTAGCTTGAGATTTCATAACCGTAAGGCATGTGCTTCAGTGTAAACTTGAAAACTTTATCCCATTCGGGAAAATTGCCAATCATACAGACAGGAATTTTGACATGAGAACACAGAAATCATGAATGTTTAATTAGCACATTGTTATTATGCATTGAAATTGTCCAGGCGTAAAAGTCTTACTAGGGGTTTTTTTTTTTCCTCAAGATGTGAGTTTAGTACAACTCTCCGAGAAGAAAATAATATTGTCTAGTGTAGCTGTATTATATAGCACCCTATTGGTATTGAAATGGATTTAAAGGTTTAATTGATATAAGCTGATGGACAATGTTGGTGATCAGATGAAGGTGGTGGCATGTCATCGGATGAGGATTTCAGCGGAGGCGAAATAGATGTGCAGGAAGCTCAGCAAAGAGGTGAAGATCGAGATCTCAAGGATCGGCTTATGCGTAGGTTTGGCAGTCATCTCGGAACCTTGAAGCTCGAATTCTCCAAGAAGAAGAAGAAAGGAAAGCTGCCGAAAGAAGCAAGGCAAACGTTACTTGATTGGTGGAGTGTTCATTATAAATGGCCATATCCAACGGTACTTAAACCTCTCGTCTCGCATTATAACACGTAGTTTAATAACTCCACATGGCGATACAGTCACACCTCAATATTTTTCATATACTCGCCTAATGAAATTGTTTGATAATCACTGTGGTTTCTTTTTCTTCCTTTGCTCTAATTTCATTCAGGAGGCTGATAAGATTGCGCTAGCGGAATCTACGGGGCTGGATCAGAGGCAAATTAACAACTGGTTTATAAATCAGCGTAAGCGTCATTGGAGACCATCGGAGAACATGCAGTTGGCGATGATGAATGATCTTACTGGACCATTCTTTACAGATGAATGAGGTGCATGCATCTTACTGGACCATTCTTAATTAAACTTCTGTCCTGGTAATTTATATGTGCATGATCCGGAAAACGCAAACTTTACTGACATTCCTCAATCAATCTACCCCATCTCTAAGATGATTAGGGGGAATGTGATTGTAATTTGCTTTAATGTTATACTCTTATGGAATTTGACCACGGTTGGTAACGAATGAAGTGCTTACATGCCCTTGCTATCACTTGCAAATGATCCATCCTCAAACGCAAAACTCGTACTCCTAAATTTCAGAATTCTAGGGCACCAACTTTTATCCTAACTAGTGTAACAACATATGATTTCTTTCTTCCTTTTCCTAATGAATTTTGCCCTAATAAATGCAAATTTGAGCCGATTCAAGTTCACTAGAATAGTGTACTTATTCTTCTGCACTCGATCTTCATACTTGTAATTTAGATAAATTTAATGAAGTATATTACTTGTATTAAAGCAAAAAAACCTAATCAGTATGCCCCAAAATATGAGTGCTATAATCAACTAAGAAAAGTGATCAAAACCATTCATTTCTCTTCCAAATATTGGTAGAGGTAATGAGATCGAATATGCATTTTTTATTTATAAAAAAAAAACACGCGAAACATGTTTGCTTATATAAAATGAGTATTGAAGTGATTTTGATTGTTGAGTGTTTACGAACTCATGAAATTAAAAAATTGCTGGTTTCATATAACAATTCACAACCTTCCAAACATTAAGTAAACATATTGTGAAATCTTTAATGTAACATAATGCTTCAAGAATCAAGAATCAAATCAATTAGAAAGTCTGATTGGTATTGGTCATATCTCCTTTCCTTTCCCTCTTTTTTTTTTTTTTTTCATTATCTGATTCATGACTTCCCCATTCAAATAAGTAGGCACGCAATAAAAATTTGAAGATCGAAGTAGTTTCTTGGATGAAGATTCTCTCCCCTTCTAATCTCTCTCCCCTTCGCTCCCTTTCTGCTTGAATAGTTACGGTTAAGCCACGTCAACGTTTTATATTTATTGTTTTTTACAGACAATAAGACAAAAAGTAAAGTGTGAGAGGAGGGGAAGGAAGTGGATGGGAATAAGAAGGGAGAGAATCATACTCCGTAGTTTCTCACCATGTAAAACCTGACCCAAACTGAATTATATAATGGGTTATGCTTAAAATCTGAGGCCATGCATCACTATTGGGCTAGACTGAGATGGCTTACCTACATTGGGCTTACTTTAGAACCGACGACCCGTAATTTACCGGAATAGGGCCCCCTTATCCGATCACAGATCTCAGAAAAACGGGTGTATCTCTGATTCGGTAACTGACATGGCTTCGCTTCAGCTTCAACTTCCATTCTCTGCCGCTCCGTGCCTACCCAATTCCCGGTTCAGACGCAGTCCGGTCCGGTCCTCCACCGAACGCCAGGCGCTCTTTAACCGCATTGCTCCTGTCTACGATAACGTTCGATTTTTTTTTTCTTCAGTTGCAGTGTCACTTTTTCTTTGATTGTTAATGTTGAATCTGTCTAAATATTGATCTTCCGTTTTTATTTTTGGAATAATTCTTAGTTAAATGATTTGTTGAGCTTGGGTCAGCATCGAATATGGAAAAGAATGGCAGTTTCGTGGAGCGGGTAAGAATTAAAATTAACTGACTATTTTTTGGTGGAATATATATTTGGGTCTCTGAATTTCAAGTTTTTGAATTTTGGGTTGCAGAGCAAAAATGGGGGAGAGTGTGTTGGATTTGTGCTGTGGGAGTGGGGATTTAGCGTTTCTCTTGTCTGAGAAAGTTGGGTCCAATGGCAAGGTTCGTTCTTTGATGTAATTTGCTGAAAGATTGGTAATTTAATTTGAATATGAGCTGTTGTTTGTGATTGGGATTGTAAAATCTGGCTTGCATTGGCAGGTGATTGGTCTTGATTTCTCGAAGAAGCAGTTGTCAGTTGCTTCTTCGCGGCAGAAGTTGAAGTCGAAAGCCTGCTACTTGAACATTGAGTGAGCACTGGTAAATCTAGTGGTCGATCAACTAAAAATGTTTGAAATTTAACCCGGGGTTTTGAAAATGTTTTATCTTTTTCACCTCGTTCGTTTTACGCGAAACACTCTAAGTAGATACTGAATTGCTAATCAGCATTACATTAATGTGAATAATCGATCATGTTATGCGTTGCATCTTGTTAGGTGGGTTGAAGGTGATGCAACTGAATTGCCGTTTTCTGACGGTCACTTTGATGCCATCACTATGGCTTATGGGCTAAGAAATGTAGTAGACAAACACAAGGCCATGGAGGAAATTTTTAGAGTTTTGAAAGCAGGTTCCATTCCCTCTCTCTCATTTTCACTTGATGAAGTTGTAGTTCTAGGTAGGTCAGTTTTTCTCATTTTTGCTTGGCATCACAGGCTCAAGGGTATCGATCCTTGACTTCAATAAAAGCACCAATCCAATTGTTTCATCAGTTCAGGTACTCATAACCAGATACAATAAGTTTTTGTCTTCTAAAGCGTAGACCAATTTGACCATTCTATTTTTATTTTGGCAAACAAGTGCTGAATGCTTCATGATTCAACTTTTGCTAGGACTTGATGATTGACAATGTTGTTGTCCCCGTGGCATCTGGTTTTGGACTTGAGGAGGATTACAAGTATTTAAAAATTTCAATCACAGAATTCCTGACAGGTGCATTTTCCTTGCTTTTAACTCTTTATTTTTATGGCATCTGCACCTCATGATGTTTTAATCTGTTTAAGCCATCTTTGTACTGCTGTGTTTATACACAGTATCTTCAAATTTTGTGAACTCTTGGGAATTGTTCTGTTTGGAGGCCTTTAGGCATAGGCTTAATAAGTGATCAAGTCGAGTGGTTAAGCGGATAACAGGGTACTAGTTTGTTGATTAAAATCTTTCTGTGAACACAGGGGACGAGTTGGAGAAGCTGGCTTTAGATGTAGGTTTTTCCAATGCCAGATATTATGAGATTGGCGGAAGCCTCATGGGGAACTTAGTAGCCACCCGATAGGTTGATTCATGTATGCTATTTTCAAATTGTGTCTTGTTGAACATAAAATATGTGCCTTTGGGAAATAAGAAAGATGTTGTGCCTCAAACATTTCTGTTCATTTGTTCTCTCACAGTTCTGAATATCAGTCGAGCATGTCTCAAGATCAATTTTACTTCTACAAATGACAACGAAAATATTGCTCATACTGTCTGGCTCTGAAAACTGAGAAAAAAAAAATTGCTTTCTCTTGAAGTCTCGCTCAACAATTCTCTCAGTTAGTCAAAATTGGCCTTGTCATTAGACGTGTCTCTGACTGAGCCGAGCAGGGCTGAGGTGCAGCCTGAGATTCCTTGGCTCCTTCAGAGGAAAACTAAGTGCTCGCAATCCTTGGAAATATGTGAAACCTTTCGTTTTCACTGTGTTGTGATCACCTAGGATAGAAAGAACTATGTGAAACACTCGCAACTGAAGAAGCACCATCTGCATTTAGAGGGTAACATTGGTCGTCGCCGTTGTCATTGAGTTCCATGGTCTTTTCATCTATAAAAGGTGGATTGGCAGGTGGAGGAAGGTCCAGCTCCTTCTTTGTTAGCATCTGCAGCGCCTTTGACATTGTTGGTCGTAAAGAGGGACTCTCTTGGGTGCATAGAAGTCCTATCTGGACCACTCTGAATATCTCATCCTTAAAGTTGTCATGGAAATTTTGCGACATTAAGTTTGGGTCGTATAGTTCCTCTACAGTCCCTGCTTGAAAGTGCTTCCAGGTCTGTTCGGACAAAAAGCACAGGAACAATGAACTAAGGATGAGGATCTACTTTATACTGCAAATTCGAAGATCAAATTGTTTTGTGAAGGGAAAAAAGGAAGAATTTATTGGGAAATTTACAATTATAACTATGCCGTCTGAGTACTCTGCAGATGTGCTCCTGTTGTTCTGCCTTCCAGTGATGATCTCCAATATAAGCACTCCGAAGCTGTAGACATCTGCCTTTTCTGTCAACTGGCCATGAGCTAGGTATTCAGGAGCCATATATCCCCTGAGGTTAAATTACAAATACTGGTAAGCTTAACATTTTCGGAGTGTACTTCGTTTATCTTCACTAAAACAACCTGAAATATTACTATAAATAAGCTTACAATGTTCCTGCAATGGCTGTGCTGATGTGACTCTTATCTTCCTCGAAAGACCTGGCCAACCCAAAATCTGCAATTTTAGCACGAAGCCTTGAATCCAAAAGGATGTTGCTGGCCTTTATGTCTCTGTGAATAATCCTTGTTTTCGAGTTGTCATGAAGGTAGACTAAACCTTCTGCTGTCCCAACAATGATCTCATATCTCCTCTCCCAGTTAAGTGTTTTAGCCCTTTCTTGATCTGTTAAAATTTGTCGAAAACATTGAGAGAAGTTCAGAAGCATGCATGGCATATCACCAGTTAGGATTTGTATAAATCAACGTAAATCTATGAAATTACCGAAGATGAAGCGATCTAGACTTCTGTTTGGTAGGTATTCATAGACGAGAAGGCTTTCAGGTCCCGCACAACAACAACCCAGCAACCTGACCAAGTTTTTGTGTTCGACGCTGCTTATAATGTTGATTTCGTTATAGAAATCTGCTGCTCTGTGCCTGTTGTTGAAGAAAAGCCTCTTCACTGCAATCTCTCTCCCATCAGCCAGAACTCCCTGCTAGGATAAAACCTGTTAGTTTCTGAGATAGAGACATCGGACATACAAGACAAACAAAAGACGAGGAGATAAACTACTTTGTAAACAGTTCCGAAACCTCCTTGCCCAAGCTTGTTGACAATGTCAAAAGACCCTGTGGCCTTTTCAATTGTTGAGTACTTGAAGTTTAAGCTACTGTCATTTAGGGTTTTCGCCCACTTTTCTGCATCATTTGTTCCTGCAAAACCCCGAAAAGCTTTTGGCGGTCGGTAATCTCTTACGTGTGAAATTCCATTTCGTCCATTGTAGACGTTATTAAATTTGCACCATTGATGAAGCAATGCAATAACTAAGTACAATCTGGCTGCATTGCAGAGTTTCAACGAGCTTTTTACCTCTTCTTTTCTTTTGTATATATCTGTGTTTCCAGATATAAAATCCAATGGCTGCTCCAACTACTAAAACCACCAAGGAGCTGATAACTGAAACTACGATGACAATTATGGTACCTGCAACAAAGTTTAGAAGATTAGGTGAGCGAAACTACACACCGGGCTCAATCTCGAGCTACCAAAGCAGCCTACCCTCCACCCACTCAAACCGATAAGAGGAAACCTATGTTAAAGAAAAGGGGTAGAGTTTCATTTACCTCTGGAACTCCCATTTCCCATTTCCTTGTTGAGAAAATCTGTGTCCGAATACCTCATGAAGCACCCGGTGTACAATGCTCGCCCCTCGGACCAAGGCAAGCATCCCAACATTGACGCAGATGCATTCTCTAAACACTGTCTGCAAGAGCTCTCATCCAAAGTTCTCCAGCAATCTGCCAACACGTAAGCCGATTGGTTCGCTGTCCCACTCACACTCACCTCACCCCTTGCATAGCCTCGGTTGCTTGGTGCAGACTCAACCGCACGCCTCACAACCTCCCTTGCTGATTCTCCGAACGCTGAACTCTTCCTTGTCGTGTTCCCACACACGACCCTGTCCTCCGATCCTCTAAACTCATCGTAAAAGCTGTAGTTTTCGGACCTCATGAAGCAACCGTCGAGGTAAATCCGACCCCCATTGTAAGGAAAACATTGGGGAAGCACTGTACGCGCCTCGGCGTAGCATAACACACAGTCTAGAAGAGAAAGATCTCCGTAGCATTGAGCTATGCCATAGTTTGTATCAGGGCCCGAACCGGTTACTGCCACGCCAAAGCCAGAAGTTCGCATTTGTTCACTGATGTTTTCCATCGTACTGACAAAATTCGGAACAAAAACGGTTGTGTTGTGCTCACGTTGGTTGCCGCACATTATTTGGACCGTCTTCGTTCTTGGATCTCCGGCAGCCATTCCTAGGAACAGCAGGATCTTCAGGAGAAGGAAATTTTGTGAAAGAGCTGCAATGTTGCAGTTCTTCATTTTATTTTTTTTTTGGGATGAATTGGAACTTTGATTTAATTTGCAGCTGCCACCATCCAAATTTATATGAAGGAATGTTGTGGAAGATTTAAGGATTGCTGTCAATTGGGCAAATGGGAATCAGGAGTGTAGCTATTACAGAAGAACAGATGGCATAACAGTAGCAATACAACATGGATAAATTGCATTCAGAATTAGGCACCGTCCCTTAAAGTTGGAGGCTTTGAGGAGGTGGTTGGTTTATATTGCTGGGTTTCCATCTCGAAGTCAAAGGGGCAGGTCTTGGATTTTGGGTTCTTATCCGAAACTTGTTGCAGGGATTGCAGCCCCGAGTTTTCTTTGGGTTCACACTTTCACAGTCAACTTAAACAAGAAACGTTTCTTTGATCAGCCTACTGGAGAGAGACTTCCCTACACTATTGTGATGTCATTGGGAGTGGGACAACCTGATAATACAGTGTCATGTCGAGACGATGCACATGACATTATAATATTGATATGAAACAACGCACATTGCATTAAATCAATGATTCAGATGGAATCCTAAAGTGTAGGTGAGTTTATAGTTAGAAATTGTACGACTTTTATGGCACAGATATTAATGCTATGATAATATTTCGTGTCAATAATAAAATATGTTGTTTCTCTTGACATGATAAAAATATCACCACGGATCATACAATGTCATGTCGAGACAATACACATGGCTTTTGCATGAAATCTACACAAGACTGGGACATGAGGTGAGGACAGCTCGGAACATAATAACAAGAAGGGCTCCACAAGCAATCCCAGTTTGGAGAAATTTTTTTGTGACATGAAAACGCGACCTGGTATATCAAATGTCATGATACAGTTGATTGAATTTTTTTTTTTTCAAGTTTCCAATCAATCTCGTACTCCAGCCACATTGAATAATCTCTCCCCAATTTGGACCCCACAGTTTGGATTGAATGTGATAGTAGAAGGTCGGCATTGAATTATAGAGGGAGGGAGGGAGGGAGGAGGAGTGATTCCCTGAACTAAACCACGTAAATATCCAACCATATAAGATCCCACCCAATCCCCACCAAGGTCCCATGACCTCCAGCCAGCCCGCCATTGCCATTTGCCACCAACAGCTCACGTTAAACGTCTAAACTGCTGACGTTATATTATTATATGCTGGTCCCCGGTGATGACTCAAATCAAGATGTTAACTTGTTAAGCAGCTAGCTTAACATCAGCTTAATATCAATACTGTGACAATGGTATCAAGATGTTAACTTATTAAACGTCTAAACTGCTGACGTTATATTATTATATACTAGACATGTTTTTTATTTAGTGGCAATGGTATTAACATATTATTAGTGACATATCGTCAATCCGTTCAAATCAACTTGCTTGAGAAAGCGAGAGCAGACTCAGCAGAAGAAGTCATTAATACAGGCACTTAGACTGGAATAGCTGGTAAATCCAAAAATAAAAGAACTTCTCCCCATGTCCATATTAGCTGCAGGAATACACAGAATCATGGCAGAATGTCTAGGAGTTATATCCTAAATAAAGATATGATTACTCGCAGAATATGTATATATACACTAAACTGTCAAGGAATTCGTAGGCAAAAAATAAACTACAGAAGTTGTAGACAAAGTTTTGAGTGCGTGGAAATTGGTTTTTTTCGTAAAACATGAGACCTATAAATATATATGTACGCGTACCTTTTGTTTTTGCATTAGATGACTGAAACTATGAGTTCCTGCAGGTGAAATGAGATGCTTAATCGAGGCTTTCTGGCTTATGGCTTCTGCTGTTGTGAAATGAAGCTAGACAAAGAGAGAGAGAAGCCAATTCGAATACGTTGAGAAGTCAAAGTGAGCTAGGGCTGTACTGGAAAAGTTCTCTTTGCTTCAACTTCAAACTTTAAATTGAAAGAATGAGGGAGGAGAAGTGGAAACCACGCGGTGTTGGACCGAAAATCCGACAGCTCTCTCTCTCTCTCTCTCTCTCTCTCTCTCTCTATATATATATATATATATATTACAAACAACTATTATATATAGATATAGATATATATCATATATGCAGTGTAGGAGGAGGCGTAGCTATGTTTGGTAGTAGTTGGTGCATTTGACTGTTGTGAGAAACGAATGCCTCCATTTTCCAGTTATTTTACTACTTACACACTTTTGTTAATTTTTGATCATTGATATTCTTCAATTCGTTCGATCCTACAACCGAGAATTGAGTGTAGTGTATGAAAGGTAAAAATAAGTGTGTGGATAACACTACCTTTTTAGTTTTACCTAATGATAATAATAATAATCAAATATCTTGTGATATCTTAGATTAGAGTCATTAGACTTCCTGGTTAAAGAAGTGAGTTGACAATTGAAACTTTTTTTCTCTTTAACAAATAGCATCTAGGTTTTCACATTATCTCTTAGATTCTGCACACGCTATAAACTAGTTTTTAGTTTAATGATATTTTTTTACTTTGTTAGACAAGATATTAAGTTTGATTAGCATGCACGGCGGATATTTATGACAAATTTGACACAGTGTGCTAATAGCAATTTTCTTCTTTTCGTCACAACAATATTCAACAAAGGTTGTTAGCTCAACAAGTTCCTCTGGGAAGATAATGGTGCATCTCGATCCCTTGTTGTCTACTCATAAATAGATCTTTGTCACCGACATATTCAACATGAAAACAAGTCACCACCTACAGTAAGCCAATAACATTTAGTCTTAATCATTACGCCAACTAATTAACATGTTCACACAAATTATATTCCCAGAAATTAATGAAAATACAAAATCAAGTGGGGAAGAATGTTGTTGATAATATATATTTGTTTCTATTTTTAATACTGTTGCTGTTATTATTTTGTAATTATATAAAAAAATATTACATCAACTTGGTGTTTCAAACCGACTATTTGTTATTTTGAATGTTTATCTTTAATCAGTATAATTGTGAACACGGAAAATTCCTGAAACGAAAGAGACAAGAAACGACGTGCACAAACAAAGTATTATGTATTTGATGATTTTGGGTTACAATCTCTCTCTATTTTGATCCTCTGATTCGATCTCCGTAAGGTGTTGATTGGTGGATATTTCGTTGATCCAAGGGCCGTCAAGGCTTGATCTTGGATGAACTGTTGGAAGTTTCTTCAAAGGGTCGTCGGGGCTTGATCTTGAATTGGTGGATGATTGTTGATCCAAAGGGCCGTTTGGGCTTGATCTTGGAAGAACGATGAACGAAGAACGAAGAACACTTTCTTCAAGGGCCGTCGGGGCTTGATCTTGAATTGGTGGATGATTGTTGATCCAAAGGGCCGTTTGGGCTTGATCTTGGAAGAACGATGAACGAAGAACGAAGAGAGCTTTCTCGATTCTTCGGGAACCTGGATGCTTGAGAGCTTCGGAGTTTCAGAGCTTCAGAGCTTCAAGGTGTAATATGAAATTCCTCCCTTTAAATGAATGAAATGGGCTTGTATTTATAGAATTTTCCAATGCCTAATTTTGAATATAATATCCCAGATGAAATAAGTCGTTTCTGCCAGGTGTTGACACGTGTCCTATTTGATGACTTTTCCAACTCATTTCAATTTTCGTTGAGTCACGCGCTACGTGTAAAATTTATGTAATACATGAGCGTTGACACTTTGATTTATCGGTCAGCATTTATTTACGAAATTTCGATGTCTACAAATGCCCCCACTTCAAGGCACATCGTATACATGTGCTTGTCACGTGTAGGAGATGCGTTTTGAAGTCCCTTACTGTAGATGTCGATCCAAGGGCCGTCGAGGCTTGATCTTGAATTGGGCTGGAGATTTCTTCAAGGGCCGCTGAGGCTTGATCTTGAATTGGGCTTGAGATTTCTTCAAGGGCCGTTGAGGCTTGTTCTTGGACTTCGTTTGAGATTTCTTCAAGAGCCGTTTGAGGCTTGTTCTTGAACTTTTGTTTGAAATTTCTTCAAGGGCCATTTGAGGCTTGTTCTTGAACTTTTGTTTGAAATTTCTTCAAGGGCCGTCGAAGCTTGATCTTGAAGGTTGAAATTGGACCACAAGGAGCTTCATGTGGTAGATGATCTTTGGCTTTGGTAATGGATGAATCGGCACGTATTTTGTTGCGCTTGTTGACTTTCCACAGCTTTGATCTTGAACTGGGTTGGAAGATTTTCTGGATTCCTCCAATTGTTGATTTTCCACAGCTTATTCTTGAACTAGGTTTTGATTCAAGGGTGGTAGACACTTAATCTTGAATCGGACTTGTGATTTCCTCAAGGGCCGTCGAGGCTTGATCTTGAATTTGGCTGGAAACTTCTTCAAGGGCCGTTGAGGCTTGATTCTTGAAGGTTGACTCGGACACATGGCAAGCAGGCACGAGGTAAAGGTGACAACCTGTTTCTTTGTTCAATCTTTCCAATTCACACCTGAGCAGTTTGGTCAACGGTATGATCTTCAAGATTGATGAACTCTTCTTCCAGTTGGTGACTTGATCTTTAAGGATTCGATTCAAGGGTGGTGAATCGGCACGTGCAGCCCACAACGCCTAGTAAGTCGACCCAAGAATTTGAGGGTCAAAACAAGTTCATCGTCCTCAGGCAGATGCGACATCTTCTCGAGTTCTTCATCTCGGACTCTTTCTGCTGAGTTGATTGTGCATGCTGCATTCTTCTCTGCTTGTTTCTTCAGGCAGATATGGCAGCTTCTTGAGTTCCTCAGTTCGGACTCCTTCTGCTGAGTTGACCGTGCAGACCGCATTCTTCTCTGCTTGTTCCTTATGCACCTTGTCTCCACATGCTGCAAGGTATCATTTTCACTTGCCTTATCTGTTCTTCAGGCAGATGTGGCAGCTTCTTTGAAAGTACAGCAGCAGTGGAAGGCGAGTACTCGAGAGCAGTGCTAGGTAGGCAATCAGGGAAGGGTTCCAAGCAGTCGGTTCCTTACCCGAGTTTGAGTGGAAGTTCCGGCATATTGTTTTCTTTATCCTTGTCTTTGTAGGTAAGAACAAGGACAAAGGAAAGGACAGGGAGAACGCATGATATGAGATACTCTTGCTTTCTACCCTGGTGATATGAGATACTTTTGCTTTGGAGTCATTGGCTTGCAGAGGTACCCCAAGGAATAAGGAACACTGGGTAACTCAAGAGGCTTCGTTGGGAAGGCATTCTCAGAGATGAAGAAAGGTTCTGTATGTCTGCCTTGCTATGGAGGGTGAAGATGGACAGTTATAGGAAGTTCTTTAATACTTGTAGAGGTACTATTCTTTCACTCGTGTCGGCAACTAACGCGTGATTGAACAGTAAAATTTCACGTGCTTTTCTCTTTCACCGAAAATCTTCGACAAATTGCCCGTGATTTGCGCAAAGTTGAGTGTGCATATGACAGGTGATGACTCGGCTGAAAAAGACTGGCGCCTCTTCGATATCTGGGATTGGCGCTTCGACAAATTACCCGTGATTTCCGCAACGCTGAGTTTGCGTGTGACGGGTGCCGACACGTCTGGAAAAGCAAGATGCTTCTCCGATTTCTGAGCTTGCCTCTTCGATTTTTTGAATGGCCTCTTCGAATTCTGAGCTCGCCTCTTCGATCTCTGAAATCCCGTCGAGTGCTGATTTTTTATAGAGGCATGCAGTTCGTTTCAAAAACACACTTGAATTTTCGCTTGTGAAAACTTCCCTCTTGTACTTCTAAGATCTTGATTTGTCCGATCTCTTCTTCCTTCAACACTTTGAAAATGTCTGGTCCCTCCGACCGTCGTTTTGATTTGAACCTTGGTGAAGAGGTAGTCCCGTCTTCTCCATATAACATATGGCGCCCATCCTTCATATCCCCTACTGGTCCTCTTACTGTTAGGGATTCGGTGATGAAGAATGATATGACCGCTGCGGTGGTGGCCCGGAACCTTGTCACTCCCAAAGATAACAGACTACTTTCCAGGCGGTCTGATGAGTTGGCCGTTAAGGAGTCCCTGGCTCTAAGTGTGCAGTGTGCGGGTTCTGTGTCCAACATGGCCCAACGCCTATTTGCTCGAACCCGTCAAGTTGAATCGTTGGCGGCTGAAGTGATGAGTCTCAAACAGGAGATCAGAGGGCTCAAGCATGAGAATAAACAGTTGCACAAGCTTGCACACAACTATGCCACAAACATGAAGAGGAAAATTGACCAGATGCAGGAATCTGATGGTCAGATCTTACTTGATCATCGGAGGTTTGTGGGTTTGTTCCAGCAGCATTTACCTTCGTCTTCTGGGGCTGTACCGACTGCTGAGGCTTTCAAACAGCCAACCTCTGACGCCTTCTCTTCCTGGAGCTCTGCCGAGTTGTGAGGCGCCACCTGATCGTCCTTGAATATCCCCTCTTGTAAATTTGATTTGATTTGATTTTTTTTTTAAATTTATGTATAATTTCCAGAAAAATAAATAAAATGGACCTTCTATTTCTCTCTATGCATTTGTTTTTTTTTTTTTTTTCTTTTCTTTTGGTGTTGGATGCACCAAGTTCCATCATTTTTTTTTTATTATTATTTTTTTTATGTTTATTTATTTATTTATTTATTTTTTTACAATATTTATTTTTTATTTATTTTTTTTGCTTTCTTTCTTTCTGCACATGGTGCCCATGCACTACCTGAAACTTTTGATCTGCCATGGGGCTGTACCCCATCTTTGATCCACCATTCCTCTTTGTTCACGTGGTGCCAGATGCACCACCACCCTTTTTTTTTTTTTTTTTTTTTTTTTTTTTTTTTTTTTTTTTTTAATTGTATTTCTTTCTGTATAAATTAGGATGCTTGGCGGAGGGATTTGTAGGGAAGGACGAAGACGGACGGAGAGCTGGAGTTTGAGGAAGAGCTTCTCGGCCGGCTAGTCGTTTGACAGCGGTCTTTGAAGTTGTTGGCAGCTGCGAGGCAAGAGACGGAGGAGGTCTTTGGGTGTGGATTGTCAAACTTTGGTTTTGTCAATCTCATTCAAAGG